TCGGGCTGGGGGCTCTGCCCTGGGAGAGGCTCCTGGGGAGCAGCGGGAAGGGCCCTGCTGGAGATTCCCCTCTCCCGGCTGCAGCCAGGGCTCCGGGCTCCCAGCACCAGCCGCCGGGGCGCGGGGATCTCGCCAGGAGCCTGGGAGTCAGAGTCACCGCAGCGGCAAGGAAATCCGAATCCGATTCACTTCCTGGCTGGCAAACAGCTCCTCCTGGGTCCTAGCGACAAGCTGATTCCATTGTGCTGGGGCCCCGCCTCCCCTTGGCTCCAGCAGCTTCTCTCCGCATCAAGGGGGCACGGTGCACAGAGGCCAGTGTAGCGGAGTGGGGGGGGGGACAGAAAGGAGACCCAGATCCCGGGGAGGGGGGTTTCTGCGGGAATTGGGCATTGTTCCAGAGAGTCCCCAAGCCCCTGCCGCTTCCTGTAGCTCCCATGGGCCGGGAATGGTGAACCGGGAGCTGCAAGTGGCTGTACCTGGGGACGCTCAGCTAAACAAAGCGTCTCCGTCTCCCGGCTTGCCTGGGGCTTACCCTGAACAAGCCGCGAACCAAGTTTGGGAACCACTGATCTACAGGAACACAGGGGTGATGGGGCTCCTGGTCCTAGAGAGACAACCCAGAGCTAGAGCTAGAGCTGGGGGGGGAGGGGGGGACACGTTTCTCCATGACACTGACTCTATGTGTCAATAAAAGGCCTAAAAGTGGCAGTTCTTCAACAAAAAAACTTCAGAAACAGACTCCAATGTGAAACTGCAGAACTAGAATTAATTTGCAAACTAGATACCACCAGATTAGGCCTGAATAAAGACTGGGAATGGTTGGGTCATTACAAAACCTAAACTTAATTTCCCCAATATTAATTTCCCTCTACTGTTACTCACACCTTCTTGTCAACTGTCTGTAATGGGCCACTCTCTTACCACTTCAAAAGTTATTTTTCCTCCCTTGGTATCCTGCTGTTAATTGATTTATCTCCTTAGACTGACCTCACACTTGGTAAAGCAACCCCCATCCTTTCATGTATTTATACCTGCTCCTGTATTTTCCATGCATCCGATGAAGTGGGTTCTAGCCCACGAAAGCTTATGCCCAAATAAATTAGTTAGTCTCTAAGGTACCACAAGGACTCCTCGTTGTTTTTGCTGATACAGACTAACATGGCTACGTTGAAACCTGCCACTCTGGTCACAGACTGGCACAGGGAACAGTTGATCAGAGCTGGTCTCTTGTCTCCACACCAGGTTCACTGGCTACCAGCCCTGGGCCAGAAATACCAGTTTGGGTCATGGGGGTTTCAGAGCTTTGCCACCAGGTTCATGGAGTTATTTGTAGGGCTGGATTAACCTATCCCTGGGTTCTAGGCCAAACCCCCTCATGTCTGCCCCTCCCCCCATCCCCATGACCAGGGATCCCTTCTGCTCCTCTCCCGGCTGACTCCCCCATGTGGGCACTGATTGCAGCTCCCTCTCACACACCTGCACGTCACCAGCAAACTCCAGCCAGTCTGGTTC